TGCGTAATAAAAATCTAGTAAAAACAAAAATCTGTCTACTTAAAAATGTCTACCCCACTTTAACGACTGATTTCTTAATTAAATTATCGTTTCTACTAATTAAAACTTAAGATCCTTTAAAATGGACTATTTAAGCTTAATTTTGATGTATTTAATTTTAATTTAAGGCCCTAATTTGTAATTATTTAAGCAATTTTTTCTGTTGTAAAGTAGTCAGTTCGGTAATGATCCCACGTGTTCGGGCCTCTTGTTTAAATTCGGAAACGTGTTTCTATGCCTTATTTTAATTGAAGTTTAATTAGTAATTAAGTTTTTTTTAATTTATTTAATTTTAAAATACAATTAAGTCGAATTGTTTTAGATTTTAAGCGTGATTTTTCGATAGTTTCTTTGTTCTTGGTTGCAAATTTAGTTTTAAGTCGTAATTTTTGAATTTATCGTATTATTTTTGGGTAAATTAAATTATTATTTTAAATATTCACTTAGTTTAGTGTCTAGAAAATAAATTTAGGGCTTAAAATCGAATAAAATTCCAAGAATTTAAGTCCTGGAATGCGTAAAATTTAAGCAGATGTATAGGAGGATCAAAGGTTTTAACGTGGTCGAGACGGGCAAAAAATTAAACAATATCCAAAATAATTTGGTCTCCAACCTTCTCCGTGGTTCCCAAAATCTTCTATAGACAGTTATAAACTTTATATATACTAAAATTCTCTATTTTTCGCCCTCGAAAGTAAGTTTCACCTCGGTAAAGGTCAAACTTTCCCATTAAAATTGGTAAGGTAGATGTAGGTTCACATGCAAATTTGTATTGTAAGCCAGATTTGGAAAAATATTTTCTCAAACAAAGACAAAAGGTTAAGTAGGTCAACACCTGTCCTGTGAACAATGGCAAGTGTTTTGAGGGGGTTCTTAAGACAATTGATTAGAAATTCGTGGAATTCTGCCTTGTCTTAACGGTGACTTCCTTTTTCATTTCTGGTTCATTTATTTAAACTTGCAAATAAATAAATAAATGATTCACCCTTTT